TATAAGAACATATAATTTCAAATTAGGAATAAATTAAATTAAAAATGGAAAACATTTTTAGCCAATTAAAGTTTACAGACAGCAAATGAAAACTCAATAACAATTCTAGTAAGCTTTATTTGCAAAAGATTTAAATCGCGCTTTAAATATTAACTTTGATGCCAAAATGCCGAATTTCGTTGAAAAAGCGAAAAAAGAAAATATGCAACGAAATCTTTTGCTGATAAGTCGATTTTAAATTTTCCAAATTTTCTTCCGTTGATATAGTGGGTGATTTTTCATCACACCCTATATACATACGCTCGCTCATCCGCGAGCATATGGCAAGGTAGGCAGCGGAGTTCCTTTTCGGTTAATATGTTTTCGCGATCCACAATACGCTCGGTCGGGAGCCAAAGACAATTAATAACCTTCCGGAGTATCATTTATTGCGACAGTTTAGCCTCATGTTAGAGCGAACTCGTCCCGTCGAGGAGCGCGAAGCGCATAAACGCCGTGGCGCAGGTAGCCACGTCGTAGATGACATTGTCTGCCTCCTCGAGCCGTGACCGATCCGATTTTTAACAGCGATTTTGCGTCCGCCACTCGAGAGTCAATCGAGAACGGTCGCCGTGCACGACCCTCTCGCACTTGTGGGAATCGCGATGGGTGCTCCTCTCGGAAGTACCGTGATTCGTTATGCCCGCGTTATGCCCTCGTGCATGTGACTGCACATGTACCACGTTGCGCCGGAGTTCTAGCCAAGAGCAGCTGCTTCCAGAGAAGATACGACGCGTTTCGCGAGTGGCACGTTCCGAAGCGCCAAATGAATACATAACGTTGCGAGATGCGAGCTGTCGAGCAACTCGGAGGGAAAAAAATCCGTAGCCGATTTCAGCAAGAAAACCAATCGTCGCGTCATCGTATTTCGAATTGCACGCCGTACGCCTGAGGGAAATGATAGGCGAATGATGTAGAAATTAATGCGGAAGAATTTAGCGATAAATATATATTTTCGTGATATATACAAGAGAAGTTAACGCTTAAACGCGCGGATCCAGATTCTACACGCGTATTTTATGTATATTCAGAGAAGCATATTGCACGCGACTTGTGACTAAAGCATAGTGATTTACATCCGCATTGCGTTTTGCCAGACAATCTTGCGTGATTGACGAGATCGTGCATGGTCATCTAGATCGTGATACTACATGTGATAATTTACTTATTCAGGACATTTTTAGAACCTAAAAACATGTTACATTGTAGTAGCCGAGTATCTAGGCGAAAGAAGCGTATCACGATATTAAATAAGTTATTTGAACGAAAACGTATACAGCGAAACAGATGTTTCCTTTCTTATAAGAATCTTTGGTAACAAATGTTTTATTGCACGTTAAATATTCAATCATCAAATCTCATAAGGACTATCCGAATAAATATATAATTTCTCTTGAAATAAGAATGAACAATCGCGGAGTCGGAACTTGTTAAATAATCGCGTATTATAATGGAGGGTCCTTTCGAATATAAAGCTCCGGGTTTTATATCTGTCTTCTGCTTACTCCAAGACGCACGAGACCGGTATGCCTCGCTGGCGCAATTTAATCTCCCTTTATTTGGCGATTAAGCGCGCCACCATTGATTTATAATCTCATAAAAGGCCGAAGGCACGGTCCTGTAACGACGCCGGCAATATCGCAAACCGAAAGAGCATCGAGAAGGTTTAGCTCACGTGTTTGTGTGTGTATGTGTGTGTGTGTGTGTGTGTGTGTGTGTGTGTGTGTGTGTACTCGCGTAGCCGCGCGTAAGCCGCAATACAAGTGCGATTTCCACGAAAGCGACATTTAAAATTTTATACGCGATCTCGTTGACGAAATCTTCGAAGTTCTCGATATTAACTTAATAGAAATGCACAATTTAAACGATAACGCTCAGAGTAATCCGTTTAGATTTCATTGTCAAAATTTTACAGAACGAAACTTTTATTAAAAATCATGTAAACATTAATTACTTTGTTATTAAAACAATTATATTGCCAAATATCAACAAATATCGACGTTATATTATTGTAACTTTTTATTTAACATCTGCAGAAATAACTATTCGCGAAACGATGTTCTGACTGTAAGTCTGACGAATCCGGGCACTGCTTCGCCAGTTCAAGACGTAAGCAAAAGCATAGTACTCGAGAATATGTACTCGCGATTATCTTTTGCTCTCGTCCCGGAACGAGTTTCACGGTGTACGCGATAAGGCGATTGGATCATCCACTCAACGCGGTCGCCTTCCGTAGGCACGTTGTCATTCTAACGGAAGCGGGACCAAGTGTAGATCAGTGTAATTCGCGAGTTATCGCCAAGTGAACAAAGAGCATCGATTTAGATTAGAAAAGTAACGGGTAATTTGCGTGCGCGCCGTTAAACGCGCCTTTTAAACGATCTAGATAAGATAAAGAGAGAGACATTTCCACGTATTCGCACGTTTCGCTTAGCTCCTGCTCGACCGCAGTGTTTCACCATGTCTGTTCTAAGAAAATATTCCAGCATATTCTGTTCCAAGACTCGGTTATTTTTGTTTTTACCTAAGATCTAATTTATTTAGAAAACAATAATATTTTCTAAAAATTGCTAAGTCGCAAAGATAATAATTCAGTTTCGCACTAAGAAAATTTAGTGCGCAGGTGTTTTCTTAACAGATTAATACGACGTGACTGTCATGTGAGAGAGTTGGATTTAAGAATGCAGAATTCTTAATCGAATTTTTCATTTACACTTTGCCGCCATGGTTAGGTCAGGATCTTAGGCTCCATTCGGAATCGAACAAAAAAAGATAATACGCGTATTTGTCACGACTCTCGGTACTTCCCGCATGACTTGTAAAGGGTGGCAGTGTAGTGGCGGCAAAAAGGCGTTAAGTCAGATCACGACCCTGTGACGACGACGAGCCACGCCGGAAGGGGTTAATATGCAAATGAGGCGCGACACGACGCTTAGGTCGGTATGCATAAAAGATTTGCCAGTTGCACTCATGCAAATCTAATTTTTGCGTATTACTAGATCAGAGATGACACAATGGGATATTTCAGCAATAATGCATATTTGTTATGTAACTACAAAAAATACAAATAAGTCAACATAAAAAGAAATATGTAAATGCAGGTAACCCTCGAATAACACGATTAATTGGTTCCGTGTTACTAAAAACCGTGTTATTCGAGATATAAGGATTCATACAATTTTGGAGATCGCGTTCCGTGCTATTGAAATTCGTTCAATTAAAAACATCCAGATCCATATAAAATTGGTTCTAAAGGATTATTTTTTAAAAATATTTTTAAAGTTGTCACAATTTTTTACCGTGTTATTTGAGACTCCATGTAATTCAAATAACATGTTATTCAAAGATCATATATATATATATATATTTTTCCTATGTTTTAAGAAATTTGTCAGTTTTGTGTTCAATTGAGCTTTATGTTCTACATGAAGATGAAAGATTTTGTTAACGTTATTAAAAATGAAAACGTTAAAATTACTAAAAATTTAGTTCTTGCTTAAAAATTTATGACCAAAAATCGTGAAATTTGAAACAATAATTAACATTTTTTAATTCGATGGTGGAATAGAAGTTTTGTGGTAAATAAGGTGATTAAACTATGGATTGAAAAATCTGTAGTTTAACTTATGTTAAATATCTTATTGTGAATCCGTTTACGCCATTATCTTACTTCATGCGAGAACATCTCAATGTTCTCTTTAACTCTCGTATTTAACTTACCGAAATAAAGATGCGTCCCTGAGCATCACGCAACTCGTCGCGCCAGTGTACGCGTGCACGTGCATGAGCGATGAATCGGAGCGGGAGAAAGATTGGAGACGACGGAGAGAGAGAGGAAGAAGAAAGAGAAAGAGAAGATGCGCGATTCTCTTCTCGGACCTCTTTCGAGCATAGAGCTCGCTCCGGATATACAAGTGGGTAATAACCGTATGAAAGGGTAACAAAGGTGGCTGACACACCGCGGTCGACGTAAAGAGCAGGGGGCAAGGGTATGGGCGCGGGCAAGGGAATAGCAATAAATATATTTTGACATGGGAGAGCCACGCCGACGGTCTTATGCATAATAATTGTAACGGCCATCTCTCTCTCGCGCTTGCACGGCACGACACGTACGCACAACGTACGCACGCGGGCAAGACGTCGTCGCTCTTAGGCCCCTTTTGTGTTGCCGAATTACGGTACTGGCTAGCAGTAAGCAAATATTATAGCAACAGGCGGAGACGAGGGGTAACGATAATGTTTTCATTTGATGACGACTAACCTCGACTAACCGCACGTGAGATCGCATGTTGGGGAGAGGGTCCCCCCCTATCTGCCCCCTCCTCGGGCGATCGCGAAAGCGCGTAAGTCATAGGAGTTTACGAATGCGCATTTTAAATAGGCTAGTATTATGTATGAATAATCAATTACCATAAATTTAAGAATTTATATATAAGAAATAGAGCAAAAACGCAATGTGAATCCTAAGTCTTTACGTATTTGTAATACTTTGGAGAATTATTTCTTCCGCAATAGAATAACGATTTGATATAACCCAATTCTATCACGGAAATAATAAATAAATGATGTATTGAAGAAGAAAAGAAAATTATCAAGAGGTCTGTTGTAACGCTATTTCCGCGTGATTTCATAATGAATATCTACAGAATCAGGAGCCGGAGACTTTAATGCTCGACGTGATGTACACTGACAGAGATTTAAATGTAAGCTCATTGGTACTGTCCATGTCGCGTATTGTGCGTAACGAGGTTTATCGATATCTTTGTTATCTTATCTTGTAAAAGACATTGCGTAAATAACTAAAACGGCATCATAACCGTTCGTGACAATAATATTGATCAGTATAGTGATAGAATATCACTAATACACATCATTAATTATAAATGGATTAAAACGTTATTAATACAATCTCTGTAAACTATCGAAATGTAAAATGTAAAATGTAAAATAAGATGACTCACCTCACTCAAATAAATTGGAAATCCACGCAAATGTCAGTCCCGTTTTTGGATCACTAAGTTAACAAATAAGTATAGTGTTCTCGCCGAAGCAACTGTTCCGATTCGCTTATTTACACATCTCTCGTTCCCAGGAAACGTTCTGTTTGCTCTTACTATGCCGATTATGCCTCTCTTCGATCACATTGCTCCAATTATTTGACGCTTAAATTCGAAGAAAGTCGTTTCTTCCGTGTAACAGCCGGTGATTTTCTTGAAAGCTTCGCTGTACTCAATCAATTTTGTTCTGCATAGACTGTCACCGGCGTTGTCATGTCGGTCGTTTCGATTCCACCGACTGAACTATACAATTTCGATCGATCGTATAATTCACACACTTCCTCGTCCGATATTTATTCTATTATTTTACTCTCTCTCTCTCTCTCTCTCTCTCTCTCTTTCCTCTTCTTCTTTTCTACTTCCCCCGCTGTTTTCTCGCGATTTTTTCCTTCACCTCTTTTCCTCCTCGGTCGCTGCTCGTGGTCGTCTTTGTATACTCTCGATCTCTTTCTCTCTCTCTCTTTTTCTCTCCCCCCCTCTCCTTCTGTCTCTCTTGTGTGTGCACGTGTGACGGTGCGACTACGACGATGGACGAGAAAGGACTGGTGCTGTACGATCGCTCAGACCTGTTTGACTGCATCGGAGCGCCTGAGGAGAACCGTGCCGTACCGAAGGAACGATTTTCCTCCGTATAAGAGCCATCTGGGGAGCTGTTCTTATCCATCGGTTCACGCCTGTGCCTGGGCCCGCCAACGGCTCCGGTCCGGGCCCGATCGGTCGACCAATCGGTGTGCGCCGGTTCCCGGTACCTAGGCTGTCTAAGTGCCACCCATTCGTCCCCACTTGTAACCGGCTCCACCACTCTTGAAAGATCCCAACTACCGGCCCTCACCAACCGCAAATACCGCCACTCTGCTAACTCGTTCGTTGACTACGAGTTGAATTTTATATATGTTTAATATATTATGTATATATAATACAATATGTGAGCAAAGAGGAGGATAAGAGAAAAAGAGGCATAGTAAGTTGTTATTTTGCACTTCTTGTAGAGGAAAGTCCCTTATTATGAGATAGGCTCCTAATATGCGACAGCTAGGTTTCTGCTAAACTAATAGGCCCTATCTGTTGGTTCCACCATGAACTTATTGTCTTTGGGGTAAAACCTATTTAGTGAAAAATTCATTGTTTGATCGTGCGTGTAGTCGTTGCAGAGAAAGAAATTGTGAAATTGGATGTTGTCAAGTGTCATGGATATGGGTCTTTAAACCTTGTTTATTATATAATTAATAAATATTTGGCAATAAGTTCTGCATGCAGCGATAGAGTAAGGTCGTATTAATAGGAAAATACGGGATATGTTGAGTTGCTTAATTGTAGAGATTAGATTTGGTGATCGTGAAACCGCAAGGCGTGGTGCTCGTAACATGAGATACTCAGGGTACTCCTGGGTTGCTGGCGTATGAAAGTTATTGTATAGTAATAAAAGAAGAGAAAATACTATATTAACGTTAAGGGAAGGTTTATACGAATTTATAAGACGTGCTGACCTTGATTTGAGAAGGAAGGGTGGAGGGGGAAGATAAGGTACAATATTGAGTATAAGTGGGTTTACGATTGTTGCAAATATGCTTCTGCATCACATGTGTATTTGAGAAACATTAAATAAAGGTTTTTAATAGTAATACTGATGTATTTTGCACTTTATTAGCGATTTTCCGGGGTCTCTCATATTAGGAGCACACTTTTGCGATTTTGCCGAAAGATCATTTTTCACATTTTTCTAATTTTCAGCAAAATTAATATTTAAATTAAATTTTACATTTTAGCATCTTAAAGCTTATTAAATTCCCTTCAAAATGACCTACTATATTTTTCAATTCTGCCCATAGACTTACAGCAATCACACAAAATAGATATGGTATCTTAAAATCGGGTACTTTCCTCTACTATCTTTCTGTTTTCCTCTTTTCCTTTTATTGTTGTTAAATACATCAGGATTAAAAATTATTTTAATCATGCATTAATTAAAGTAAAGCGTTTAAATTTAAATGTTTTTTTTTTTTATTTATATATATATTCGTGGATAAAATTACAAAATCTATCACATCATGTTATTAATAAATAATAAAAGCAATAGTAAACATTTTGTTCTAATTATCTGAATAGTTCAATATGCGGAAATTGTTATAATTTTTATAAAGATATATATAATATTTATAATAATATATCTTTCTTTATTTTACCTTTTTTTCTTATAAGTGAATAAGTATAATTTTTCTGTTATTATTACGTCACAGACATCCAAACAATCACGCCAATGGATTTTCCACGTAATACGTTTTTTCCTGGTTGAAGTAATAGGTATTTTCAGTTTTCTCCAGTGTGGCGAATATTATGGCGGTTTCTCAAGCGCAGACGTTTCCTCGTAATTATTCGGAAAAAAATGCTCTTACGGTGCTCCAGAATCCGGCTGCGGGAAGACGAGTCTTTTTGCGACGCTCGCGGTTTGAGCAAAGGCCCCTTACGTCGCCGATACGGGCTTTATTTGCGTATGCTAAATGGTGCACGCACGTGGTTTCCACATTCTCCCGACGGCTAATCACACCGCAAATAATCGTGAGCACGCGGCGTGAATCCTTTAGTTTCCAGACGTACTTTACGACATGGCTTTGCCATTCGGAGCGGCTATATTTTTTTTCTATTGTACCATGCAGTAGTTTGTAAAGACAGTTTAGACAAAAGCTTTTTCGTGGAATTCACAAACTCTTAGTTGGGACCTTGTCTCCTAGGCATGATTTGAAATTAAACGCAGCATTTTGACAGTGATTGTTGCTACATTGATTCAGGCGATCGGCTTTTTATAATCCTTTATTTATGTTATTTTCACATTGTCCTTATATTGTGTTGCCTATCACAAAATCTTAATCCAGTATTATTAAAGCGGGACCCTAAATATTATAAGCTGTTATTTTTGGTGTTATTTTTACAACTGCTCTGTATTTGTTATTGTAATAAAAAATTTCAAAATAATTGAAATTTTGACAACTTTATCGCGATGAGTAAATAAGTCAAAACTGCCTGCAACCGAGCGTCGAAGCGATCGTCATTAGGGAGATACATTCTCTTTCTTTCGAAACGTCGGGATCTCTCGACGATGCGACGCGACCGTATTAAAGATCCAGCGGGTCACAAAGCGGCTGGTCGATCCAATAAAATGTCATGAGACGCACGAGGGCGAGGTCGGGCCGCAGTAGTGTGAGACAGGGTATACCGGCGCGGCGCTATAAATTAAGAAGATGTGTCCACTCGTGGAAATTAAACCATAGAAACTGGTTTTGAACGTAAAACACATCTCCTCTTTTACTGCACGTAACTCTTTTTTTCTCCATTTCATCTTCTTTCTGTTTTATTTCTTCTCTTTTCTCATCTTGCTATCGTTTTCTCTCCTTCTTTCTTACCTATTCATTCATATATCCTTGTACCTACGCTCCTTTTTATAATCATTTTTTGTATTTTTCTCGTCTTCTATTCACGCGTGATCTTCATTCTTCTTTCACATTCATACTCATCGATATATGAGTCCTGTATTATTCATTTCGCTTCCTCGATTAACAACTGATTTCGTTTGCCAGAGAAGATAATAAACGAACATCTATAAAATCTCATTGTAAAGATGAATACGATGCGAACAAACAGCGAATGTGAATTTCTGTTATTAAAATTAGGGGAGATGTGTACGCCGTAACGAATGAGAATTTACATCAATGTTCAATTCGCGTTCAGATTGATTTGTTCGTTAGGCGATACATCAAATAAAATTAATGTATAATATTTAAGAAACATATTTTTACATACACAGTTAATAATTTAATTATTTTATCTTGTGCAATAACAGAAAAAATAGAAGAATCAAATGAAGTTTTTTTTGCAAATATGGGCGTGCCGGATGGCCATTAGTATTCTCAATTGTGCAAGTAACGAATGTAAAAAAAGTATTAGAGGATTATAATTACGTAAAGCTTGACGATTATTGCACGGTAGACTTGAAAAATAAATTTTTTGCAGAAAATCGTATTCTTATTTCATTATTGATCGTGATGCGTTGATGATCGTACAGTGATATTTCTTATAAAAAAAAAACTGTTGTAAATCCGTCGATGTATGGCAACAAGAGAGGCACTGCAGACAACGTCAGATTCGTGATCAATTGGCCGCATATAATCCGGATGTATCTACGCGTTCGACCGTCCATTCTCTTTTTTGTCTGTCGCAGTCGCGTCCTAGTATGAATGCTCGCTCATGCAGAAGCCTTTCTGGAGAAGGCAGATGGGACTAATATAGACTCCATTCTGCCCCGAAGATATGAACTCATTCTTTCGATGGTGTCGGAGCTGCCCATCGACACGGAAACAAATAAGATTTATCGTTCCGTGTATGTCTCTGATCGCCCCTTGCCGCTGGAAAACGGTTGTGATAGTTTTCGTCTCGTATGGTTGTACGGAGATACTCACGCGTAAAAAACGAGGAAAAATAACGAGGAAAACGTTGCGTTAGTCTATATGGTAGGCGTTAGATTTCGAGTATCGATTTGTAATTAAAATACGAAATGATGAAATATTGATGAGATTATCCATTTAATTTAATTGTTTTACAGATAAATTTAATTAGAAAACAGGAACAAAAATGTGTACATTTGTATGCGATAAAATATATTTTTTTGTTTAATATTTTGTTCATTTTTTTATTTTTTTATGACACATTTAAATACAACTAAATCTAAAGAGGGAATTTTGACCAATCTAAAATACTTATATTTATTTTTAATTTGTATGTATTTATTAACGAGTGGTGAAATTCTCTAAGAATGTTATTTATATTATTAATATTATTCACTGTCAGTAAAGAATAAAGTTGTATGTTAAAAAAAGATAAACTTTGTAGATTCAAAACCAAAGAATTGGCTATTCAGAAAAGTGTTCCACGTCTTATAGGTATACCTTTCTTTTTAGTTACTCTTTAATCTTTACTTTTCTTCTTAAATAGATCTTTTGTTTTTTCAACTGATAATTTGTAAAATTTTTAGGATTAGAATTAGAATACCTACACATCGATTTTCAACCGATTTGAATAGATTATCTTCTCACAGAGTAGATTGTGGTCATATAGATGAAAAAAGAAACGGAAAAGGATTAAATTTAAACGTATTAAATTTTGAGAAAAAATGTCAAATGTAACGGATCTTTTTTGAAATCATCGGTATAAAACAAAGTTTTAGTTACTGGATTAATAAACTAGAAATGTTATATGTGTTAAAATAAATTGTATAAATTAGAAAACCTAGGTATGGAAATCGAAGAGACTTTGAAAATACTTGAAATCAAGAGTAACTCTTTAGCATGTGATCAACAATTTAAATAATAGCGATTTAGAGTTAAATAATAGCTCATGTTTTTGCAAGATATATAACAGTATATGCTTATTCTAAATTTAAAAAAAAATGGTGAGGCTAAGAGATATTTAAAATAAAATGAAAATTAGTGAGACAGATTACAACATTTAGATCTATATACCATTACTATTACATAAACATATACTATTACATACAAATATACATATATTCTACATATATTCTCAGTTTTATACAGTTTTTCAAGATCGCGAGAAGTAATAACGCGG